CGCACCCTCACCTCCGCCACCCTCGCCGCCGCCACCCTCACCTCCGCCACCCTCGCCGCCGCCACCCTCATCCCCACCGCCCTCCCCGCCGCCACCGAGTCCTCCACCACCCTCGCCGCCGCCGCCCTCGCCACCGCTACCCTCGCCGCCGCCGCCCTCGCCGCCGCCGCCCTCGCCGCCGCCGCCCTCGCCGCCGCCGCCATCGCCGCCACCATCCTCGCCGCCACCACCCTTGTCGCCACCACCGTCGCACCCGCCACCGCTGCTGCCACCCTTTCCACCGTCCTCTCTGCCCCCTACCGCTCCACTGCCACCCTCGCCGCCTCCACCATCGGGGCTACCTCCGCTCTCGCCAACACCGCCTGATATGCCGCTGCGTCCACAGTGCGAGGGGTGCTGCCGCGAGTACCCGCCTTCACAGCCTTTGCGGATCCCGTCGTCGCAACCGCCGCCGCCGCTGTTCCACCCTGATGCAAGTTGGTGTGGCAGTGGCACCGAGTGGAGTGTCGCTAGGCAGCGTTGTGTGGTGAGCAGCACCGTGTGCGATGAAGGCACCGAGTTTAGCGAGCTCAAGCAAATGTGCGTCGTCGCTTCCTGGGCCAGGGCTTGCGCGCCGCCACCCCCAACTCCGCCACCGCCGCTTCGCCCCCTGCCGCCCTCGCCACCGCCGGCGCCTCACCGCCGCCTCCTGCGCAAGCTCCGCCCCGCCGCCTGCGGCCGCGTCCCGACACGCCCTGGAACGGACCGGCCTCACCGGCGGCCGATGCCTCCTCAGGTGGGCGTGCTCTTTGCGTCGGTGATGTTTGCAGTCGTGGGCGTCCTCTCGGCTGCCGGCACCGCTCTGCAGCAAGAGCGGCTCGCAGAAGGGCAGCGCCTCCCCACCGCCGCCCTGTCGCGCTCCGAGCAGGCATGTTCCAGCTGCTCGAGTGCCACGACGCGGTCCTCCGCGGCCAGAGGCTCAGCAGCGTGAGCAAGGGCGCCTTTGCGGAGATCGGCCGGCAGGCGGCGGGCGCGGCAGGGTACGTCATCGTCGACTCGTGCCTCGTCGCCTCGCAGTTCCTGTTCTGCGTCTCGTACCCGATCTTCATCGCCACCAACACGCGCGCCGTCCTCGAGTCGCTCCTCCCGCTGCCGCCCTCCGTCACCTTCCTCACGCTCGTCCAGCTGCCTGTTCTCGTGCCGTACTGCTGGGCGAGCCGGCAGTAGACGCGCGGCGCTTAGTCTCCGGCACGCGGTGGCCGGACGCTGCAGCCGGCCCGTGTCGCCCGCGCCAGCCCCTCCCTCCCCCTCCAGGTGAGAGACATACATCGCCTAGGCTGGCCAATGCTCGGTGCGGCAGAGCGCCGGAGCGCCGGAGCCGCCGCCGCCGTTCACATCCGTGACAGCCCGCGGCGTCCCGTGCAGTGGCAAACCTGGTGCTGTGGTGCACCGTCGCGGTCATCCTCGCGCTCATCGGCACGGACCTCGTGCAGAGCCACTTCGAGCACGTCGGAGAGGTTGCGTGGACGGCGAGGTTCGGTCCCGGCACGCTGCTCTTTGCCGCGCAGGCCGTGGTGGCCTTCGAGGGGATCGGCATCGTGCTGCCGGTACGCGAGGCGATGAGCGAGCCGGAGGCGTTCCCACGCATGATCGTCGCGTGCATGGCCCTCGGCACCGTCGCCTTCCTCGTCTTCGGGATCTGCTCGTACGTCGCGTTTGGAGAGGCCTGCTGCCGCCATCTCCCCCGCCGCCCTCTCCCTCTCCCCCGCCCTCGCTCCCCCGCCTCTCCCGCTTCTCCCCAGCTGGCTCTCTGTCTCTCATCTCGCTCTCACGCCTGTCCTCCCTCGCCGCGCTCTGTCACCGCACCTTCTCGCCTCCTTCTCTTGCCTCGTCGCAGCGCCATCCCTCTCACCGCCCCGTCGGAAGCCTGCCCAGGCGACCGCAACCTTCGTCACCCTCAACCTGAACGGCGGCGCGGCGCTCGGCGTCCGCGCCGCCTTCGTGCGCCCGCCTCGCGCGCCCGCCTCGGCCCACGCCACGCACACGACGCGTCCACGGCCCGCCAACCAGGTGCTCACCGTCGTGCTCACCTAACCGCTCCAGTTCTTCCCCGCGATGGTCGCTCTCGAGGACAAGCTCGGCCTCTCCGACGAGAGCGGCCTGCTGCCCTGCTGCGCGGCGCGCACCTGCCTGGTCCTCGCCGCCTTTGCCAGCTCGCTCTACGCGCCGTACGAGAACCTGATGGGGCTCGCCGGCGGACTGTGCGCGGTGCCGCTCGCCTTCATCTTTCCCGGCTGGTTCCACTTGCGGCTGTGCAAGCCGCGGTACGGCGAGGGGCGCGCCCTCGATATCACGCTCGTTGCGTTTGGAGTTGTGATGGCGCCAGTCGCGGTGGTCAGCGCC